ATTTGATTGTCACTTCAAATTTGTTTCAAAGATCAGAGTTTTATCAAAATAAGTCCGTTGCTCGAGTGCCAATAGAGGGGCTATCAAACGATAAACCCACCGCTGAAGCGCTAACCCAGCGCTTGGCAAAGGCAAAGTCCCTACTCTTAGTGCTCGAGTACTAGCCTAACGGCTAGTAAACAATAACCCCGTCGTTCAAACGACATGGTCAAATCTAGAGAACGATTGTTCGATGTTCGTAATACCAAGACTAGGCACTGCAACCGTTCTTGTTTTAACTCCAAAAAAATTCCCAAAAAATCTAAAATTTGAAATTTAGGGCTAAAATTCGCATCCCAAAATTGAAGAATCCAAAGTACGAATTTCATCCCTAAAATTCTTTCTTGATTCTCAATAATTTAACATGGATTGATTCTAATACTACTTGTTAGATTTAAAAACTTTATGAATCTTGATATATTTATAAACCCTTTTTCGATGCTAAGATTCTCCGTGTTAAATCACCAAGAAAATTAAAAGTGTGGAACATACATTGATCCATTGTGAATAAAAAATGAAGATTGATTCTTGATTGTGACTTGTTGATCTTGATTGCATGTTCTTGATTCCGGGATAAAGTCCTCTTCAATACGCATTCTCTTGTATTCTTGTGTCAATGAGATGTACATAGAATGAGAGTATCAAATGTGAATTGATCCTATATAATGTCCATATGTATTTCGACTCATCATGAAACCTATAGAAATTTGGTCTCACACATAAATAGGCTCATACTGTATTAGATGTTCAAAGTCCAGTAACTTTAATTCATTAAACCAAGATAGCATTTAATACATAATTAATTACATATGTAGACCCACATGACAAATTAAAACCCAACACCATGTTCCTAAATTATATAATAGTTCATTCGTAAAAAGTCCAACTAGTATAAGCTCCTGATTGTGCTTCATTTTAATTTTAATACATTTTCTCTTTCTTTTTTTTCAATCGTACAATTTTCAATAAAATAATATTATGCGTAAATAAAAAAAATTTCATTCTTTTTTAACCACATATTCTCAAAAAAATTACTATTTTAAAATACATTTTTCTCATAACCTCAATAAAATGAAGCTCAAACAAGGACTAAGTGTGAAAACAATATTAATGTATAAATGTTTAGACTATTTTTTTAGACTAATGCTTTGTAGCACCGGTATATGTGACAATATGTGATAGATTCAATTAAATGTGAAATTATGTAATTCATTTAAATGAACCTATAATTTAATAACATTAGTGTTACTACCTAAATCGGTGTTAAATGTTAATAGTGCTAAATAACATTACTCTTCGGGCGTCTACCTATTTAGTTCACACCCAACAAAATGTAGGATAAGCTTTAAAATTTAAATTTTGACACTTAATCATTGTATTAGAATTTAAAAAGCTTAGATGAGAAATTTAATCAATCTCAAACTCAAAATAATAATCAAATTTCAACAATCATACTACATGTACATTCTATTCTACATTATTTTTTATATTTTATCACGTGACAACATATGATTGGATAATTTTTCTTTTCTTTTCTTTTCCTTTTTTAAACAATTTTCCACTCAACATTTTACTCCAAATGTCAACCGTGAAATACACACTAAACATTATTCAAATTTGAAAGTCTATATTCGCAAGTCATGACAGTAGAAAAGTTTGCAGGAAAGGACCCCACTAGTCATATTTTCTTTTGTATTGTTACCAAAAGTCATGATATAGTATGAAGAATAAGAAATACTTAGCCCCTGTTTGCCCCTATTATGTGGAAAAAGTAATGGATGGAATAATATTTTTTTAAAAAAATAAGTGATTAAAAATGAAGGAAAAATTTTTGATTTATATATAATATTATTTTATGAAAAATTGTATAGTTGGAAATAGAAGAGAGAAAAATGAAATGTAATGTAGTAATTTAAATTAATGGGGCTCAAACAGGTGCTTGGTCAATTCTATATAGATAAGTTTATTTTTACAATTTTTTTACACAACTTAAGAAAATAAAATTAACTTACTTGAAAATATAAATTTTACTTACATATTTTCTAATATCTCTTTTCATTAAATATTAACTTTATAATAGAAGTAGTTTATATTTATTGATAAAAAATTAACAATACACATTAAATTAGAAAAATACTGAAAAACAAAGAAATCAATTTTATTCTTAAAAAAAAAAAAACCTATAATTTGAGACAGACGAAAAATGTAGGCAGATATATAGGACAAGGGGAACATTACTAGTATATAAATCTTGGAATCTATAAAGATATGGCCAGACTTTGAAAACGTGTATCATTCCTGGCTACTAATTCAACTAATTATAAAAATGAAGATGAAATTATTGTCTTGAAAAAAGTTGTTCGAATGGGATCACGTCGGCTCTGTTCGAACGGAGGGCAATGTGGTACCCTCTATAGAGGGTGACACATCTGCAGTCTGGACGGACAGAGCAGACTAATTAATTTATTCTTATGTTGTAAAGTTCAAATACTGACATTTAGCCCCTAAAATTTTTTAAATTTTCAAAACTTATTTTGAGTCATACATTCTTTCAAATAAAATAATTTTATACTTGAACCTATTTTATAAACACATTTTTGTTTTTTCAAACTTTTCTCAAAATCTGCCGTAAAAGAATTTAAAGCAAACAAGTTCTTATTAAACAAAACGTGCAAGATCTTTATAAAAATATAGGGAAAATTGCAGTCGAGATACCAAACCTTTCTTTTATTAGCAGACTTTGCTCAAACATTTGGTTTGTGCCACTGGAGGTACCAAACCTTTCAAAAATCCGCACCCAAAGTCTAAATGGATGAAAATCGTCCGTTTGACCGTTAGTTGACCAATAAAATTAAACATTGATCAATTTTTGACTAATTGAAAAGGGTAAAAAATAAAAATTACTTAACCATATAATAAAACAATTAAAATAAATAACTAAAACAAAAACAACATTATTCATTTCCTT